CCGCCTATTATTACCTCAGGATTGTGAATCCCAAGTACTCATTTAAAGCTGAGTCGACCTAGGTACCCAAACTAAATTATTTTATTAAAAATAGTCGGCTGATGAAATGCCGGCTGTAGGATTCGAACCCACAACCTTCAGATTCGTAGACGAGAGTTGTTCAAGCCCCCGCCGAAAAAGGGCTAGTGTCCAACCTTTCAAATATATTAAATTTAGGGTTGACCGGTTGTCGGACAACTTTTTATCCGCGTTTGTGTTGAGATTTTGCTGTCTGATCACTAAACACTACCAAAAACTCATGTTTCATTATATTTCAAACCAAAAAGACAATAGCTATTACAAATCACTTATCAAGAAAAAGAAAACTCGGAGATAAGAGGAAAACTGTATTTTTCACCCTTTTAGCTACTTTGTTAATAAAACTAATCTAAAAATCATAATTAAAATATTAATTTGCTATTGATTAATATTTTAATAATCATTCTCCAGATTTTAAGATTGCAGTTAGAAAAAAATATACAGAGAGATCTGAAATCCATTGAGGTATATCTGGTCTACATGGAATAACCACTAGAAAACGCTAGAGCATAAATAAGACAGTAATATAGGCATATATTGTATTTAATTATTTATTTTAATTTTGTAATTTTGTACCTTTGTACATTTTGTGTGTTATTTTCTACGGACACTGCTTTTGTCATGTCTTGATCATTTATACGAAATTATATTTGTCTTTTATACTGTATTTATCTATTTATTATAACTTTTTTTATTGTAGCTGTACGTCATATACGCCAGACATAAATAATTTACAAATATAACTAGCATTTAAGAAATGGACAGGAATAGTAAATTGTTATAATTTTATTTCATTATTTTTAGCAGTACGTTTAAGCTTCCTTCATTTGAGCATAGCAAAAATATAAAGCACAATATGATCAAATACTTTAATAATTGAAACGTCATTAGATACATAAGATGACTAAAGTCCCATACACACTATTCGCTTCTTTGGTTCGTTTGAAAATGATGTTCGTTCTTTTGATGGTTCGCTCAAAAACCAACGTTTCGCCGAATCGCACTGACGAACAAATTCAACGATCTAAATCAACGAATGGTGAGTATGGGACTTAACATTAATCAGTATTTCTTGGGCATTCTTGATATTAAAAATATTAAAAATTAAAAATGCAATAAAATGCAAATACAAATACATAATTTCAACTTTTCTCATAATTTTTTTTATGTTTTAATCATGGGTTGGGTTTTTTAATATTATTTTATAGTTCTAACTGCGGGAGAGTAAATGACAGTGATAATTATCTGACATTAGCATATATGCATAATTTTTTCGGCGAAATCATATAATATATTCTTTTGCTGGATAGAGTGGACATGGTGTCTCATTTTCGTTTGTTTTACAATGTTTCTCATTTATGAGTAGAGATACAAGGATGCGGTTTGCACATCACTATGCTCCTTTTTTATTAAACTAAAGGTGCTACAAACAGATGTGCCCTAGTTAGTTCCTGAAATAAAGGGCGAATTTGAATTTTTTGTAGATTTCTATTCCCTTTTTATATTTGTTATAACTTATCGAAAAGGTGAAAACTGAGTTCCCTAGAATTTTTTACGTAGAATGGCGTAACTAATTTCTCTCGAAAAGCTGTCATTTTCAAGATATGATAATTTTATACTTATTTTCATAAATATGATAAAAAACGCTTCATTTAACTTACTTGATTTTTTTACTTAACCAGATAGTTTTGCTCATGGTATCCAACCCTCATATGGAATCTTGATAAACTCCACTGAAAATGAACTTGTGTAGCTTTTAGGTAACACTAGTAACACTTTAGGTAACGATATTTTTATATGCATTCTACACACAGAAACTAGCGTGGAATAGTCAATAACCAATATTTAATGTCGAATAAATTATTTCGACATTTCGAAGTCGAAAAATGACAACATTTTCAAATTCGTCCTGTAGGTATTTCAGGAACTAAGAGAGCTAGGAAAAATTTGTATGTAACATCTTAAGTTTTATAAAAAGTAGCACAGTGATGTGAAAACCGCACCTTTACTACTTATAAACACACGAAAATGGGACACCCTGTACAGGGTGGGTCAAATTGGACGCTTTTTTTCCTTTTCTATAGGAGATAGACGAAAACTAGTATCGGTGTGTGGAGCTCAATTTTTATCAAAAACATGATGGTGAAAACCGAACATCGATGTCTGTTACCGTTTCGGAGTTACTATGGAAAATTTTATATTTTTATGAAAACATTTTAAACGCACTTTTTATGAAGAATTTAATGGTTTACGTATATTTTTTTTTAATTAATATATCAACAGAAAGTTTGATTTTTTATATGTGATACCCTGTATATTTTTAATTACCTTTTCAAAAATATAACAGCTTCATATTTCGCCGGATTCCTTTTCGAGATATAGAGTTTTTAAAAAATCTTTTAACTTTGAATAAGTATAGACTTTGAGCAGCAATGGCTGTAATGCAAAAAAAATCTAGTTGTGAGCAGCAATTAAAACGAAAACAATATTTGCAATGAGAGATGCATAATTTTATAACAATTTAAACGATATTTAACAACAACACATTTAAACTATAGGTATCTAATAACAATAAAAATTAATACCAAACCAAGACATGAGATTTTGCTGCTGTTTAAAAAGATTCCCTAGCATAAGCGCTAAGTACTTCCAATTCTTGTCTAGATTATACGGGCAGTTTAAAAATAAGAACCTTTATTCTTCCGCAAAGATAAAAACCCATAGGCACTAAATCCGGCGGCCTCGACGCGACGGCTGGGATTTTGGTTAGTTATTTAATTATTCTCGAAATTTACAGCTATTTGTTAAAAATACACATTTTTGAAGAACACCCCGTGCGGTTTTCACCATCATGTTTTTGAAAAAAATTGCTGCTCCAGACACCAATATTAGTTTTCGCCTATCTCTTTAATAGGGGTGTTTCCTTTTAAAATCGTTCATTTTGGCCCAGCCTGTACAGATCTAATTGAAATGTTGAACTGGCTACTGAAAGTTTTGTTTATATCACTTATTTAAATTTTATTTTGTAATTTAAAAAATGTGGTCGCCTAGTAAACAAGTACCGTATGATCGAAAAAAAAACGGCGTACAGTTGGCTTGGAAATGACGATCGATGACATTCCCCATATAGTTTTAGATATAAAATGACAGCGATCTTCATTTCACAACCATCGTTGACACCGTTTTTTTTTCGATCATACTGTACTTATGTCATAATAATTGACTAGCAGTTTCTAAAGATATAAAAAATTAACATTAATTAAAAAAAACGATAGATAAAAAAAAATCTAAGTCAGAGTTGACTTGGAAATGAAGATCGATATAATTTTATCTACATGTAACGTGTAAAGTTATATAGTGAGCATGACTTGTCATTTCCAAGCCAACTTGACGACCATTTTTATAATATTAATAGATATAATATTAAATATAATTTTCAATTACCTAATATATTGTGGAATAAGATTTTAGTAAATTTTCAATTAAAAAACTGGTGGATTTATTTAAAGAAAATGTTTTACACTTTTCTTTGTACCCGCTCTTTGTACACACTCACATCTTTGTGCTCAGTACTCGATAAATAAAAGAAAGATATAAAATATAATCGAAAAAAAAAACGTCGTCAGCGATGGCGATATAAGAAATGAAGATAAGATGTTTTTTTGTAAAATTATATGGGGAATGTCATCGGTCGTCATTTCCAAGCTAACTGGACGCCGTTTTATTTTTCATCATACGGTTTAACATATTATGTATTATAACAATTTAAACATATAATGGGACCACAGATATACTTAATTCTTGCTATGTGACCACATATTTTAATATATGGTTTCTTATTTTTACGAATAACTCTGTAATAAAAATAATACGACCTTTTTAAATATATAATAATAATAGTAAACAAAATTAATAGCCCAATATAACGTACAGGGTGGGCCAAATAAATACTTAATTATAATTAGTTTGTACTATCTTCTTTAGAAAGTGGAATTTCTCTTTAAAAATTATCTAATTTGGCTCATCCTGGACCTTTTTAACTTTCACAAAAATTGCTGAATGATTTATTTACATTTTTGTACTAATACTATGTTATAATTACTTCTTATGATGATTTTTTTTATTTATAATATAGATATATACTTTTCTTTAAGTTAAATTATCGTTAATGTGGATTTAATTTTAATATTAGACTAAACTGAAGTTTAAACTCTCTGTATTACCAATAATCATGTTTTTCTGAGTTAAATATACACACTGTATATACAATAAATTGATGTTGTTCTTCTTCCGATACTCTCTATAATGTAGGCATAAGTTTTAGATAATTTAAAATGTTTATAAATATTAATAATCAATAAAAGTAAAATTAAACATTATTTAATTCCAAGTTTTGAATTTTATTTCTGTTCATATTATATTAACTATATAACCAAAATATAGGTAATTAAAACCTGTGTTAAAACATTTTTTTCCTATAAGCTTCTTATTTTAATAAAATATAAAGAGGATAAAATAAATTTCACATAATGGCGAAGGTGCTGGAATAGGTTAATTTATTAAATAATTGAAATTAACAATGAATATTAAACAGTTTAAATGACTATAAATATAAATTTTTCATACTATATAATAAATGTTGATTTACTTACATATTTATATTAGTAAAACTTTTTTAGTAAAAATACATCGTCATTGATTTTTCATTATCCGCAACCATATATACATAACAAAGAGAAATACTAATAAAACTATTAAAACATTATTAAATGAGGGTTTATTAATACTAAAAGAAAAAATATTTGTTAAATTTATTTTTCTTATTTTTCTAATTCAAAAATTCTCGAAATAGATACGAAAAATTTAGTTCATCACCAACTTTTAAAATTGGCGCTACTTTACTTGTCGTCAGTCAAGCGTCACGTGACCCACGCTCGCCGCCATTTCTTCGAATAAACAACGACCCGGAAGGTTGGTGTGAATTTATTGTGAATTTTTGAAGAACAAATATATAATTTTTATTGTAAAATGTCTGACGTAGAAGCAGCAAATACTAACAATACTGTTAATGATGAACATGATCAGGTAAGTACAGTAATTACTTTAGTTTTCGTGAATCCTAGTCAAGCACCTTTGCAATGTGCACATAATATTGGAGTGCTATTAGACTGTGAAGTGTACCGCTAATATTGTGCATGTATTCCTTTGCTTAAACGGATCTTTGTTTCCCATATCACATTCTAAACGCATCGTGACACGATGCCGTGTATATTATGTTTTTTTAAGTATTTTCGTAATTTTATAGGAGTTTTCTGGGTTGAAAATATAGTCTAGGTTAATAGGGTTATGCATGATAACTTATCAATCCAACAGATCGGTTTAAAACGTTTCAAAAATGGAAATTTCAATATGTACGCTGCATCTTATGAATTATGACTCCGACGTACGTTCAACGCAACTTTCCTCTTCTGAAAGTGGCAGATTTCTTAAAAGTCATGTCGTAGCCTATATGTTTACATTTTGGAGGGAAAATTTAAGAGAGCCGGCTTCAAAATTATCGCATCTTGTAGGAAATTTGTGTTAATTTAATTTATAACAATATTGATTCACTATCTTTTATGATAGGATTTTTTTTAGTTATTAAACGTTTGTAATATTTTCTTTTAGGTTGACAAAGCGACAAAAGCTAAGAAGTCAAAGTCCCCAAGAGTATCTAGAATTGATAGAGCTCGAGAGGAAAGTGAAGCCCTTACCAAGGTACTATATAGATACATAATATAATGAAGTTATTGATCGGACATATAATTAATAAATCACTAATTTAATAACTTTCAATTGGTTATCTCTATTAACTGGCTCAAAATTTCTTGTAGGGTTTAGATACTCCGCCTGAGGGTCGAAGGGTGACTCGTTCAGCTGCTAAAGGTGTTACCGCTACTCCTCCACCACCAGCTAAAAAGGAACGCAAAAGCAGTACTGGTTCGGCAACCGGTGGAAAAGGCAGAGGGAGACGTTCTAAAAAAGTACTGGCAGAAGAAAGTTCAGAGTCTCAGGATGAAAATAAGGTAAAAATAATAATATTTAATAAAGTCTCTGTTATCATAAAGTAAAAAATCATAAGTGTGTTCAATTGTTATAAAAAATAGATTTTAAATTGTTTATAATATATGAAAATAATTGAATATAAAAAGTAAGCTTTTTTGAAGTTCTGTTACTATAGTTCGACTAGAGGTTACATGACAGTGAAGGTTATATGTATATGTCATTTTAGTTCATGGTGCATCCACACCATCGTAGGAAAAGCAGAATGGCTGATTGGCGTATTGATCTCTAGTAATTCTATTGACTAAAATTTGTGATAAATGAATTTTTGAAAATATTTCAGCCTATAGAACTGCTCGAGATTGATATGCCGATCCACTGTTCTGCTTTTTCAGTAATTGTGTGGATGCACCCTCATGAGTAAATTGTATTTTCTGTCATTTTTTCAATGTCTTCTGTCGAAATCTTCCCTGACTTTTCGGACATATTTTACGGACGTATTATTATTATACTAGTGTTTTTTAAATAAATATTATTTAGTAATATTATGTCTGCTAAGTTCATAAGTATTTTTTAGTTTTTTAAGTATGATTTCAAATAATTTCAACATTTCAATAACTAGGTATAAAAGAATATAACAATATTTTATGTAAATTTTTAGTGTCATATAACTTTTTATACAGTTAAACATCTTAAGTTTTGAGACACAGAGTCATAAAATTTTCTTAAAATAAATTTTTATACCTTTTTACATGATAACTCTGATATTATAGATATACGGTCTCAAAAGTTGCTCTTTTTTATTTTTTCAAATAAAAAAACAATTTCTCATTCATCATTTTTTTTTATTCAATTGTTTTTGGTTTGACTACAACTTTTGATTCTTAAATGGCACCCTCGGTATTTTTTTAATTTATTCGAGAGAAAATTACATTCTGAATAAAATGTCATTTCATATGTCTACTTTTGAAATTTTTGCTTAAAAAAATGGTATTTTAAATTTCAACCTGGAGTGCCATGGCTGTGTTAAAAACACGGATTTTTTATCAAGGAGCCTCGGAAAATGGATTTGATCGTCTAATGTTTTTCGTGTCTTGTCTTAACGACATCGACAATTTGGGTTATATAGTCTGTAAAACGAATAACTTTGAATTTGACAGTTCCCGCGGGCTTTTCTAGTGTTAATTTTATTAGGTTATTAACTTGCGGCCATGCTGACGCAATGCCGTCTCTAATAGAATAGCCTCAGAGCGAGATTTATGACGTCATGCTAGTTAGATACTACGGATTAATAAGTCTGTTGTAGAATACATGGAAAACATAATTATTCCTCGTATTTTTTTTTTCTTAGGATAGGCCCAAGAATTACCCACTTAAATATTAGCATGCAATTAAGGAACACCCTGTATATGTATTAACACTTTTATTTTTAAAGGACTCTGCTGTAACTGAAAGTGAAGAGAAACCAGAAAAGGAAGTTGCTCAGAATGATTCACCGGCTGAATCATCAGAGCCCAAATCAGAAGCAGAGCCAATGGAAACAAATTCACATGAGGAAAAAGATGAAGCTGCAAATAACAATGCAGCTGAGTCTTCCAAGGTAAGGATTTTTAGCCGACCATACCAACAGGTACGGTAGGCTATTAAGATTGGCAAAAAAAAGTTTTTTTTTATTTCACTCAAAACGAGTTATTTGGGTCATAAATACAAAATATTTTCATGGTGTTTGTCTGTCTGTCTGTCCGTCTGTCTGTAACACGATAACTCAAAAACCGCTAAACCGATTTTAACCAAATTTGGCACAAAAATACTGTGGCACTCGAGAATCTGGCCATTAGTTTTTGGTGAGGGTGGGGGGTTGGTATGGGAGGGGGTTAAAATGTTTAAAGAATCGTAACTCCAAAATTACAGTAGCTAGCGAAACGCGGTTTTCAATTTAAGATTAGGAATAATATTTACAACAAAATTTGTAATAACATCAAAATCAGTCAAAGTCGTTGTTTTTGAGATAAAAAAAAATTGGAAAAATTCCTTTACTTTGAAACTAAAAGAAGTGCCTACCAACTTTTTATTAACATATTTTTAGTATGGGCGGCTACCTACCTCACGGCGCTAATTTTTTTGCGAAAGTTTTCTCCTATATAATTATGAGGGTAACCTTGATTTTCCTTTAAGTTAAATGTTTCTATTTTATAAATAAGTGAATGTTTTGATGACGTTGGAAGTATCATTCTGTAATTTTTTGATTATGTCATCTTAATTAGCAGATAGGCTGGCTCTTGTGAAATCATAAATTTTAGGTCTGTCCTATTATTTAATTTGTATTAAATTTCATGTAAACAATATTATCTACTAATTGTAAACGATAATAGGGTGGTAATTATGTATTTTTGAATCATAATTATTCAAGATATATATTTTTTTGATAATGTAATTATTTTTTTAATACATTATTGGTTCTTATTTTGCAGTTATTCAGCATCATTTTACTTTGTACTTTGTATCATATATTAATTAGCTGTTTTTTTAATGCTGATTCGAATTTTAATTTGGCTAGTTGTCTGTAAAGGGTACAGTTGATTAATGAATATCGTGGTTCCTCAACCATTTTAAATACCTATCTCATCACCATTATAACTAAATCTTTACACTCGATTTTACCAAGTGACAAACTGCAAGCAAAAAGTTACTTTTAATTAAAATTATTTAACTTTTCAATGTCAAACATATTTAAATGTTGCCAATTTGTACTTGCTGTACCGGGTGCGTCTCAAAAGTGGCTCACTCCTATAACTTTTTTATTTTTTCATATAAAAAGACGATATTTGGTATGTTAGCATATGACATAAATTAAGATTGATTGACGTATTCAGTTGTTTTCGGTCACTTCCTGTTTCACCGGAAATGACTGCAACTTTTAATTTTTAAATGGCACTCTCGGTATTTTTTTTTTTACTTTATTCGGTAGAAAATAACATTTTGAATAGAATGACATATATGTCAATTTTTGAAATTCTTGCTTAAAAAAAATTGTATTTTAAAGTTCAATCTAGAGTGCCATGGCTATGTTAAAAACACTAATTCTTAATCAAGGAGCCTTGGAAAATAGATTTGATGGTCTAATGTTTTTAGTGTCTTGTCCTGGCCAGTTAGAAAATGCTCAAATCGTATTTTTAATCATATTTCAATTTTTTCAAATGGAACGGGGTGGTTCATAAGCATATTTGGAAGAAGCATTTTTTTACGAATAATTTGATACCATACACTTGGTATTTTGAGTCAAATTTTCGTTACAAACCGCAAGTTATAATTTCAAATGAACCATATGCGATAATGTCGAAAGTTAGCATATGGTATGTCATTCTATTCAGAGTGTTATTTTCTATTGAATAACGTAAAAAAAATCGCGAAGGTGCCATTTAAAAATCAAAATTTGTAGTCATTTCCAGTGAAACAGGAAACCTAAAACCAAAATCAATTGAATATGTAAATCAATCTTAATATATGTCATACTGACATACCAAATCTCGTTTTTTTTATCTGAAAATAAGCCGCTTTCGAGACGCACCCGGTATATCTGGAAACGCTGCAATACATCTTTTTTTTAAATGGCGCACTTTATTTACGTGGAATAACGACTGTTTTAGTTGGAAGTTCTGCATTGACGAGAAACCACACATTTCTTATAAGCTAAGCAGAGCAAGTTTTCTTGATTTTCTTTCACGGTAATGAAATTTAGTATACTAAGCTCCAAATATAATTAATTACCAGTGTAAGAGGTTTTCTATTATATGTATTTATATAAAAAATGTTTTTTTTTCTATAATATTAATAAATAAAATGGGTGACGGTTTTGGGGAAATGTCGCAACGGAGCGTACCAAAACCAGTTAAATTCGTTAGTTTATATCAGTTAGACTTTATCGAAATAAATTATTGTTTATGCAGGAACCCGAAGCCACTGAAAATGGAGCGAAGGAGGACAGCGTAGACGCGCCCACGTCCGAAGATGAGAAAAAGGAGGAGGAGCCAGCTAGTAGCACAAATAGCGAAAAAGTCAGCAGCGACGAACCCGCGGTGGCAGAGAGCGAGGCTCCGTCAACGGAGGCCGAAAAACCGGCAGAATAAGTGCGCCAACGCCATTTTCTATTCATAATATGGTAGGTTAATACAATACAATGGTAAAATAAGGATTGTGGGAATAAATTACTGTTTACTTTATGAGATTCGCCGAGTTACACGCGCATCGGGATACTCCAGGCAGACAATTTATTATCATCTCTTCACTCATACTGTATTGACAAAGCATAAATCTGGAATCGAAAATTTATTTCCACACTACACCTACTAACTATACACTTGTTTTACTGCTGTATGGCGATTAAAGAATATTGAGTTTTAATATTCCTAAAAAAAATTATGTAATTACGCTGAACATTTCAGGCCATAAGTTTTATTTGAATTTTTCTTTTTGGTGTTTTTTTTCCGATTGGAATCAGTAATATAAGGTGTAACAGAAAAGGAAAAATAAAAATATATGTTGTGGCCTCGATTTTATAATTTTAAAAGTTAGGTTGTCATGATTTTGTAGTGGGAGTGTGGTTTTCATAAAGAAATATACGGATGCTAATATAGAAAATAATGTTTGATGTTATTTTACCTGTTCACTTTCCTACGTGTTTTTTTTTTTCGATTTTAAAATACATTCAAACATGAAAGTTCTTCTGTATTATCGTCTGTTATTGGCAATACTACAATTAGAAGTTTAAATAATATTATTTTAAATTAAGTTTGAAAGCGGGTCTGTGGTATTTACCGTCGACCCTTCTATTGGGTTAGCATCATTCATTTGTATATTTGCCCTTTGACGTTAATTAAAATTGACTCGACTTTCGCTACGTTAGAGTTTTTTTTTCTGTAAAATTGATGAAAGTAAGTGGGAGTGCAGTACATATTTACATATGTACCTGAATCTCCATTTTATAAACATTTACCTATTTTTTGATAACAATATCTCGACACAGATCCATCAAATAAACCTTATATTAATTTATCGCAGTTACTTTTTGTTATCGAAAAGTATCATTAATTCCATTGATTAATTAATTACATTGTATTTATAGTGTTAAGTGAAACAATACAATTAGTTTTTTTTGCTAATTTATAGCTAGAGGTGAGTCTTGACAGTACATAATAAAATTCATATAATAAATTCCTAAAATTCAGCTAATTTTGATATACTGAGTCTGCCAAAAAGTTTATAACTAATCGGAATATAGAAAATGTTTGTACTGAAATTCTTCGACATGTTCAATAATAATTTGTCTGAGCGACAAATTGCAATAATTTATATATATTATTATGTAAAAACTGAGGTTAGGTGACAAAATGTCAAAGAGAAAAGTTTTATTAATATCAATTTTTTGTTTATTTACAAAAAAGGTAGCCAAACATGTCAAAGCGAATCTAATAAAATAATTGTAAAATCAAATTCCAGATAATTTTTCCCCTTTGATTTTTCGATATTTGTCCCTTAATCCCACTTTGCAAATCTGAAGAAAATTTTTAATTTGTCTTCATGACATTACATCTTTTTATTGTTTACGTAGATTGAATTCTGGATAAAGTACGTTTCGCTACGTTAAAGTTTTTTCTTAAACTCAGTATCTAAGACTTTCCTACTTGTAAACTTATTGACATCTGTGTATTATTTTATCCCTAATATATAACGGTCATATTTTATTAATTACCCTTAAAGTTACATAGTTTTTTATGTTTTAATGTTTAAATTCAGACTCATTTCGATGAGTCGATTCATACTATTAGTGTGTGGCAGCTGAAAAAAAAATTCACTAGGAGAATTATTTTTGAGGCTTGTATCATGAAGTTGAAATTATGTTCTTTTCATAGTCATAAGCATAAGTTCAAAATTAAATAGAATTAAATAACCTCACTTATTGACTTTGTTTTACTTAAACATAAATACAATGGTTCTGACATAATTTAACGCAGTTTGACATTTGTTCCCCATTTTCTTGTATATCATTGTATAAAATAAGATTTCCATAGTAAATATTGTAAAAAATTATACCTTTAGGTTTTATTATATTATGTACTTCAATTGGCCCCAGAAAATTAAATGCTTTCATCTAAAAAGAATTAAATGTAGTGGAGTAATTGTAGATAAAACTAATATTTACTTTGAAGTGTGTACAAGACGGGAAGTAAGAGTTTTAAATATTAATTATTGAATTATTTTTTTCATTATTGTGTTTATCTGGGAACAGCGCAATTGAAGAGCAGTTTTGAACGAGAAAGTGTTCAAAGCTTCCGTCGATATGATGTAAATATTAAATGTAATGATCTATGTAAATAGTATTACTAAAATGACTTCATATGAGGCACGAGTTTTGACATAAATATTTATCTAACATTTCGAAGCTGATCTTCAATGGCGAAATTGAAAACTACTGCTGTATTAATCTTGTTTGATCAGGTAATAAGTGATTATTATTAATTAAATCTTGATTTAAGTCTAAATGGTTTTCATATCATCACATTTTATAACAAGTAAACGTAACCAGATTGTTTTTTTTTCTTTGAACGGCTGCACTAAATAGACTTTTAATTATTCTTAAAATAGTAGTCTAATCAGTTGTTTGTATTTTTATAGAGTTAGTAATATATTTTCTTCATTGTGAAGTTAAAAGTAATGTCTTATTTTATATTTATGTAATAATCTATAATGTATGGTTATAAATGTGAAAATAAACTTTTCATTAGACATCCAAGTGATTTTTTTATTTGACCATATTTTTTTATCTTTCAGTTAAGCGACTAGAGAAAGGGATATTAACAAAATCAGTTAGACCGCTAAGGTGTTTTAAATGTAATTTAGATTTTGGTTTACCGCTTAAGTTCTAATTTATTTAATATGTTACATTATTAAATAGTCTGTCCAACAAATCGGGGAATATTTTGACTGATGGTCCTCAAAATGACAAAAAAATACAATTTACCTATGATTTAAAATGATGGACAATTGTTAGTGCTGTAGATCCTTTCGTTGGACAGACTGAAAAGAGCTTAGACTAAAAAGAAGCTGAAATAAAAGTTGCGAACTTAAAAGCCTTGTATTTTAAAGAGGACTTAAGCAAAATATCAAGTGTGTTAAATTTTTAAAAAGTAAGTTAAAATCTTTGAATAAGAAGATTAAAGCCTCGTTCTCAGAACAGCGACACGTCAAAAGAACCAATGAGATTTGTACAAAATTCAAACAGCTGTCAATTTTAAATTTAGTATAGCTCCCATTGGTTGTTTGAAATGTCAAACTGTGTCGCCCGCGACACGACGTTGTTCTGAGAACGAGGCTTAAGGAAGGAGCATAATGCTATCCATGTATTCATGCATGGTGGGCGGAAAAAGGACTCTAGGGTGGGGATCCTTGACAGTTCTGTTTGACGATTCATTTGACACATTTGAATTTGATTTGAAATTTTGTGGATTTGTCAGTCTTTACGGAGCTTATTTTATGTTATTTATTCTACTACTGATAGCTGTATAAAGGTAGTAAATCTAGATGGAAATTGTGGCAGAACTTAAATTAACAGTGACACTATCGCGATTTATCGAAAAAGACTCTAAAATAGTTGTTTGTGTAGCGTACGGTAGATCTCGGCAAAAATGTGTGAAATAATGGAACAACTTTTCGCTAGTAAGTGACTATATAATATACATACCGTAGTAAACCGATTATTTATGAAATTCATTTAAATTAACTAATTATATATTTTTTCTTGCATTTTTGCTTTTATTATGGAGGCTAAGCTTTTATTTACTACTTGTCAAAGAATTTAGATACGTCAATTTGACTTACCTGCTTCAGTAGCGTATCGGATGTTTATGGTTATAAATAATTATTATAACTTATCTATTTTTATTAGAATTATATATTTTTATAACAATTTTAATAACTACCAACATTTATTCACAACGTAAAATAAAAATAAATATTAGTCTACCCCACGTCTATCCTACATTATAGTTTGACATTTTTTAATTAAAATTAGAACGGCACTGATAAACCGGAATTTATAAGTCGGCCATATTTGAGGCCCATCGCGGTGGACCTAAGATTTTTGATATGCTCCTTCCTTAGTCTTCTTATTCAAAGGTTAAAATCTTTGAATAAGAAGACTAAGGAAGGAGCATAATGCTATCCATGTATTCATGCATGGTGGGCGGAAAAAGCGCCAAAAAAGCTCTCTAGGGTGGGGATCCTTGACAGTTCTGTTTGACGATTCATTTGACACATTTGAATTTGATTTGAAATTTTGTGGATTTGTCAGTCTTTACGGAGCTTATTTTATGTTATTTATTATTTATTCTACTACTGATAGTTGCATAAAGGTAGTAAATCTAGATGGAAATTGTGGCAGAACTTAAATTAACAGTGACACTATCGCGATTTATCGAAAAAGACTCTAAAATAGTTGGTTGTGTAGCGTACCGTAGATCTCGGCAAAAATTGAGTGAAATATGGAACAACTTTTCGCTAGTAAGTGACTATATAATATACATACGTGTAGTAAACCGATCATTTATGAAATTCACTTAAATTAACTAAATTATATATTTTTCTTGCATTTTAGCTTTTATTTATTACTTGTCAAAGATTAGATGTCAAAGAATTTAGATACGTTAATTTGACTTACCTGCTTCAGTAGCGTATCGGATGTTTGTGTTAATAAATACTTATTATAACTTATCTATTTTTATTAGAATTATATATTTTTATAACAATTTTAATAACTACCAACATTTATTCACAACGTAAAATAAAACAACAAATTATTGAGTCTACCCCACGTCTACCCTACATCATAGTTTTACATTTTTTAAATAAAATTAGAACGGCACTGATAAACCGGAATTTATAAGTCGGCCATATTTGAGGCCCATCGCGGTGGACCTAAGATTTTTGATATGCTCCTTCCTTAGTCTTCTTATTCAAAGGTTAAAATCTTTGAATAAGAAGACTAAGGAAGGAGCATAATGCTATCCATGTATTCATGCATGGTGGGCGGAAAAAGCGCCATAAAAGCTCTCTAGGGTGGGGATCCTTGACAGTTCTGTTTGACGATTCATTTGACACATTTGAATTTGATTTGAAATTTTGTGGATTTGTCAGTCTTTACGGAGCTTATTTTATGTTATTTATTATTTATTCTACTACTGATAGTTGCATAAAGGTAGTAAATCTAGATGGAAATTGTGACAGAACTTAAATTAACAGTGACACTATCGCGATTTATCGAAAAAGACTCTAAAATAGTTGGTTGTGTAGCGTGCCGTAGATCTCGGCAAAAATTGAGTGAAATAATGGAACAACTTTTCGCTAGTAAGTGACTATATAATATACATACGTGTAGTAAACCGATCATTTATGAAATTCACTTAAATTAACTAAATTATATATTTTTCTTGCATTTTAGCTTTTATTTATTACTTGTCAAAGATTAGATGTCAAAGAATTTAGATACGTTAATTTGACTTACCTGCTTCAGTAGCGTATCGGATGTTTGTGTTAATAAATACTTATTATAACTTATCTATTTTTATTAGAATTATATATTTTTATAACAATTTTAATAACTACCAACATTTATTCACAACGTAAAATAAAACAACAAATTATTGAGTCTACCCCACGTCTACCCTACATCATAGTTTTACATTTTTTAAATAAAATTAGAACGACACTGATAAACCGGAATTTAAGTCGGCCATATTTGAGGCCCATCGCTGTGTACCTAAGATTTTTGATATGCTCCTTCCTTAGTCTTCTTATTCAAAGGTTAAAATAAATAAATTTCAATTATTTAAAAATATACAGGGTGTCCTGTAAAAAACGGATTTTTCTGATTAATTTAAATGAGTATATGTAAACTATTAAACTCGACGTAAAAAGTTCTTTGGAAATGTTCCAAAAGATACTGAAAATTTTTCATGGCAAAAAAGTTGAGCATTTTTTTAAATTTGGCATTTTTCAGAATAATTCAGCATACATAATGGTCTGGGCCCATGCCTCCTCTGTATCCGCCACTGGGTAACACATAATTTTTTAAGTGAACTATTAGAAAAATCAATGAGGAAAATGCATGATTTTAAATAATGGTTTTAAAAAATAGTTTATATAATTACAAATTGAACAAAAAAAAATTGTTGATATCGGTTAAGAAATGCCTCTAATATAAAACAATTAAATACTATTAATTTAAATGGCCGGGCAAACGCTCTCTACCGCGCCTTGCCGCTGTG